TCTCAAAAAAAAAAAAAAAAAAAAGTATGGCCAAGCGCAGTGGCTCATGCCTGTAATCCCAGCACTTTGGGAGGCCAAGGCAGGTGGATCATCTGAGGTCAGGAATTGGAGACCAGCCTGACCAACATGGAGAAACCCCGTCTCTACTAAAAATACAAAATTAGCCAGGCGTGATGGTGCATGCCTGTAATCCCACCTACTCAGGAAGACTGAGGCAGGAGAATCGCTTGAACCCGGGAGGTGGAAGTTGCAGTGAGCCTCGATCACACCATTGCACTCCAGCCTGGGCAACGAGCGAAATTCTGTACCCCCCTCAAAAAAAAAAAAAAGGTGGAATGGGTGGGAAGTGTTATGTGGAAAAGGCTCCCAGAGAAGCAGTAGAAAAGGTTGAGAGGAAGAGAAGCAGAAGGAGATTAGGGCCCTTTAGCTGCTCTCTTCAAGTGCGTTTATTCAGTTTACATTCCTTTTTGTGTTTTGTTTGGGAGATAAGAGCCTTCCTGTGTCCTCCAGGCTGGGGTGCAGTGGTGCATCTCAGCTCACTGCAACCTCCACCCTCACCTCCTGGGTTCAAGTGTTCTCATGCCTCAGCCTCCACGTAGCTGGGATTACAGGTGTGTGCCACCACACTGGCTATTTTTTTTTTTTGTTATTGTTAGTAGGGATAAGGTTTGCCATGTTGGCCAGGCTGGTCTCGAACTCCTGACCTCAGGTGATCCACCTTCCTTGCCTCCCTAAAGTGTTGGGATTACAGGGCGTGAACCATTGTGCCCAGCCTCTGTATACATTTCCTTTCCTTTCCCCCCAAGAACAGGGGCTTGCTCTGTTGACCAGGCTCTGGATACAGTGGCACAAATCATAGCTCACTGCAACCTCAGATTCGTGGGCCACCATCCCTGGCTATTTTTTTTATTTTAGTTGTTATGTTTTTTTTTTTTTTTTTTTGAGACAAACTCTCACTCTTTGTCACCCAGGCTGGAGTGCAGTGGTGCAATCCCAGCATCACACCAGGCTAATATTTTTTTTTTTTTTTTTTTTTTTAGATGAGGTTTTGCTCTGTTGCCCAGATGGAGTGCAGTGGCGCAATCTTGGCTCACTGCACCACCTCTGCCTCCTGAGTTAAAGCAATTCTCCTTCCTCAGCCTCCCGAGTAGCTGGGATTACAGGCGCATGCACCACCATGCCCAGCTAATTTTTTTTTTTTTTTTGTATTTTTAGTAGAGACTGGGTTTCACCATATTGGCCAGGCTGGTCTTGATCTCCTGACTTTGTGATCTCCTGCCTCGGCTCCCCAAAGTGTTGGGATTACAGGCATGAGCCACTTTGCCTGCCTAATTTTTTTGTATTTTTAATAGAGTCGGAGTTTTGCCATGTTGGTCAGGCTCCTGAGCTCAGGTGATCACCAGCCTCGGCCTCCCAAAGTGCTGGGATTACCCTGTCTCTACTAAAAATACAAAAATTAGCCGGGCGTGGTGGCAGTGCCTGTAATCCTAGCTACTCAGGAGGGTGAGGCAGGAAAATTGTTTGAACTAGGAGGTGGAGGTTGCTGCAAGTCGAGACCACGCCATTGCATTCCAGCCTATGTGAGAAGAGAGAAACTCTCTCAAAAAAAAAAAAAAAAAAAAGGCTGCTGCAGTTCCAGACATAGTATCCTCATACCAATGACCTACACAGAAAGGAAGGGGCAATGAAGGCTTTCTTCTTTAGATGCTACAATCCCCAACTGACTTCCTCTAACATCTTGTTAGATGTTAGAAACGACTGGGTCAGGGTCATTTCAAGTTGCAAGGGAAAGTGATTATTCAGCAAAGGGTATCTTGATTAATTTTTGGGGCTGGCATACTGCCACCAGGGACATTCTGGGATTCTGTATGTAGGGAAGAGGGGAAATGGCTGTTGGGTAGACAACTGTGTTGCCACACCTAGTTAACTACAGCATGTCGTTTGGTCCAATAAAAACACATTCCAAGAGGATAGTATTTGCAAACATCAGTGATCGCATAACCATATACAGTCATATCTTTCTCTGGAAAAGGTATGCATTGTGTATGTGTGTCAAAAGTCAGCTGTTTGAGAAATGACAGAAGTATATTTAATTCATGTGATTAATGACCCTTAAAATGTGTTCCATCTTCATATATAAAAGTGCGATTGTGTTTTGTTTCATCTTGTATGTATTTTTTTTTTTTTGATCTGGTTGTCATCATCTTGCTTTTTTTTTCTTTCTTTTTTTGGAGACAAGGTCTCTGTCACCCAGGGCAGAGTAGAGTGGCACGAGCCTAGCTCACTATGACCTTGAACTCCTGGGCTCAAGCGATCCTCCTGCCTCAGACTCCTGAATAGCTGGGACTACAGGTGCATACCACCAAGACTGGCTAATGATTTCTAAGGGTGGGGGTTTTCTGTGGATCCTCTGCCTCGGCCGGCCTCCCTAAGTGTTGGCATTACAGGCATGAGCCATCACACTTAGCCATCATCTTGTATTTAATATGTAGACTAGTACCTCTTCCCTTATATATATATATTGAACTCAAAAAGGTTAGGAAAGAGTAGGGACCCTTCTGGGATGGGAGAATTTGTGCCATGTCCTCTAGTTTTCTGGAAATGTAATTACTTGAAGTGATAAATTAGCTCAAGAATGTTTCTTAAAATCACACATTGCAAAATCCTAGGTTGTATTATCTGAAGCCAGCTAGAACAGCAGGCCTTGGGCTGCATGCCCAGCTAGTATGTAGAATTTTTTTTTTTTTTGAGACAGAGTCTTGCTCTGTTGCCCAGGCTGGAGTGCAGTGGCACCATCTCGGCTCACTGCAAGCTCCACTTCCTGGGTTCACGCCATTCTCCTGCCTCAGCTTCCCGAGTAGCTGGGACTACAGGCACCCGCCACCACGCCCGGCTGTTTTTGTCTTTTTAGTAGAGACAGGGTTTCACTGTGTTAGCCAGGATGGTCTCAATCTCCTGACCTCGTGATCTGTCCGCCTCAGCCTCCCAAAGTGCTGGGATTACAGGCGTGAGCCACCGCACCCGGCCAGTATCTAGAAATTTGACAAGAGACCTTAAAAATTAAGTTTCTCTGCTCTGTTTTTGGAGTTTTTCCCCCTATGATTCTAGAGCTGGAGTTGGGAAATGGAGCAAATAAGACCTTCTTGCTCATAGCCAAGGCCTGGGGTCCTCTTACGTTGATGGGAAGGAAGTGGAGATGGCAGAGGAACCAGCAGTGAATACAAAAGGGTCACTGAAAACATAGAGGTTGAGTTTGTGGAGAATGTAGAGTTTAAATTCAGTTTTTGCTAATTAAGCACATTTTGACAACCTGTGGAACTGAGCTTAATCCTTTCCCCTGAGTCTTCCCTCATCTCCCAGTGGGCAGCATCCTGAGGTTTATATTTTTCAAGAGAAGATGGTAGTCTCCCTGAGGCAGTTATGAAATCCCCACGTTCCTATGCCAGTGACCCTGTCTGCAGTAGTTCACTCTGTCCATCTCTCTCCTTTCAACTGGCAGAACAGATGGAGCACAGCTTCTCTAGCTTGCACTCCAGGAAAGTTCCTGCAAGGAGCAGAGTTCAAAGTGAACAGATGATGGAAATGGGTGTAGCTCCTGTCAGATGGGCCTGAAGCCCTTTTGAATGTACCTGAGCATGCCCTGATGGCACGGAGACACCAGGAGCCTGGGCAGTGGCACAGAGCTCCCAGGTTTACCAGGTTTAGGAATCCCTTCCCTAGAAAGCCCATAGTGGTCAGCAGACAAGTTGGATGGGTAACAGAGTTCATCACTGTGACGGGAAATAAGTCTCACCTGAAATGCAACAGCAGCTACTTTACACAGGCCTCGTGACCATCCTCAACATTCTTGGTGGCTGCAACCTTAGTAGGCTTTGACCATTAATTAAACTGACACGATTCACGAATTGGATAAAGGCTTTTGACAGTTGGAATAAACATCAGATGGGTAGATTGATTCCCCATCCTTAAGGAAAAGAACCACAGCTGGTTTAAGTATGATGTTTAATGTAAGATACAGTGGCTTGGCAGAGTTGGTGCAAAACTAGAGAGTACCAGATTCAGTTCTAGTCAGTGAGTTAGCAGCCTAGGCACTTGGGCAAAAAAATTGGCCCAGCTGTCCCAAGTCCTCCAAAGCTCTCTGTGTATCACCAGCTAGGAGCTCCAAAACTGATATGCCACTACTTGGAGGCTTCGGTAGAATCCAAGTGTCCCCAGCTTCCAAAGTGACAAGAGACTGGCCCCAGCCATCAGAGCAGTAGAATTTTCAGGACAGGGTTGAGAAGAGTGGGGACAGAACTGGACATGGGGGCCTGAGCTGCTGAACATTTGCTACATGCAGTATAAGAGACTCACAGCTGGAGAGGTTAGCCTGTCCACCTTCCCACCCACGTGTGGTAGGGAAGAAGGTGACCATCTAGTTAAAGAAACAAAGATCCTTTCAAAGCTGTATTTGGCATAAGCTAATACCACTGCTAGTGCTGCCAGTGGCCAGGCACAGATACTGGAGGCCCTGAGGAGTTGGGAGGAAGGGAGAACAATGTGCAGGCAGAGCAGGAAACAGCCAGCTCAGGTCCCCACCCCAAGGGCCCAGAAGGATAAAGGCCGTGCAGTAAAGGAAACATACGGTTCTTCTCTTTGGTCAAAGGCCGGAATATGGGCCTGTTAGGTGAAAGGGCTGAAGGGCACAGGCTCTGCCCTTGGACCCTAGCTTTGGGCTCATCACATTGAGGCGGTGACAGAGCGAGACGAAGGCAGGAAGACAGAGCAGAGTCAGGCTGGGACTCGCCAGCTCCTAGGAGCTGCCCTTGTCCTTGTCGTCCATCAGGTCATACCTGTGAAAACGAGAGGGCTCATGTAGAAAGATGACTCTTGTGTCGTCTTATTTATAAATGAGACACGATCCAAGGGCTTCTCTACTTCAGAGAATCAATGGTTCTCTGCTCAGATTGTATCTTTTTTTCCTTTCCTATGATTGGAATTTCTCCCACTGAAATATCCAGACCACCCCCACCCACGCAGACACTCACCACCGGGCTACACCCTGGGAAAGGTCTGTCTCAGCTAGGTCCAACTGCACCTGTGTTGGAGGATGGTGGGGGAAAGATGTTATCTTTTTATTTTTTGAGACAGGATCTCATTCTGATGATGCCGTTTTGAAATCTCCAAAGACCTTACTCCGTCATCACATACTCGTCGCAAACCATTGCAGAGGTGACAGAGTCACCTCTAAAGGATCACCTGGGGTACTTCCTTCCTCACAGGGACTGTAACCTTGGTACCAGCAGCTTCCAGCCCTCACCTCTGCCCTGCCATCCTGCCCTCTTACCTTCCCCAGCAGCTCACGCTCTCTTGACATGAAGGAGGAATTAGACTTGACAGAGACATCCAGCTTTCGTCTCAGGGCCTCATCCAGGGGGAGTTCCCACTCAAACCTGGGGTAGGACTGGGTGTTAGGGGCCAGGAGTCCTTTCCAAGGCTGCCATCCCTCCACCTGAATGCCCACTGACTGACCGTTCATTAAATTCAGGACTCAGGGTCCTCTTCTTCTGTGAGGTCTTCCTCTTGGTGCCTCGGTTCTTGTCTGGCAGCAGCAACAGTGACACATAGGGATCAGGAGGATCGCGTCCATTCTGTCGAAGGGCCCTACAACAGGAGGATGTAGGTGATACGGTAACCTGAGGGAAGGGATGGAGGCGACCTGGAGGACGGGAGGGAAGGGATGGGGTCTCACCGGCAACCATGAACAATGCTGACCAGCTTTCGTTCTTCACTGTAGTACCACACAGTCAGTTTCACCTGGCCCAGAGGCCCGGCTGGAGCTTCAAGGGGACTGTGGAGAAATATCAGTAGGTCTGGGAAAAGCTAGAGCCTAGTGAACCTGTAATACTTTTTATTTCTGACTGCATCCCACCTTCCTGTACCAGCCCTTTACCTGTCAACATGTGTGAGGCGCTGCCGGAGCTCTGGGGCTGAGGAGGTGATGTGAGGGGGTCCCCCCCAGAGCTCTGGTTCTTCACTCAGGGATGAGGAGCTGTGGCTGTAGCTGTGGCTATGAGCTTCCACTCCTGAGTGCTGGGACACCAGGATCTAGGGGCAAGAAAGCTGTGAGCTAGGCAGAGTTCTCTCAGTTCCCTCAGTCTAAGGACACAGCCCTCTGTTCCCACCCTCCTGGGTGTCCCTCAGCTGTGAAGGCCCTCCCGTCCTCCCTCTCATCCTGCCCACCATCTCCTGTCACTCACCCCTAGCTGTGCTCTCAGTAGCACCTGCCCCTGACCACTGCTGAGTGTAAACCAGCGGTCCAAGCAGAGCTGGTCAGCCACGAGGAGCTCTGAGAGGGGCAGGGATAATGAGCCCAGCAGGCCAGTGCCCTCACCCCGAACCTGTGGGGCAACAGGACCATGATCAGGAGGCGAATGCATCCACAAATGAGTTAATCCTGGTGGTAAAGGTCCAAACGCTTGCACTCATAGGTGGTTTGGTGAGATTGCCCTTTGAGAAAGGCAGGGAAGCCATGGTAACAGTTGCTAGTCCCTCTGTCCTTCCTTCCTGTTTTTTTTTTTTTTTTTTTGAGACGGAGTTTTGCTCTTGTTGTCCAGGATGGAGTGCAGTGGCGCCATCTGGTCTCACCACAACCTCCGCCTCCCGGGTTCAAACGATTCTCCTGCCTCAGTCTCCTGAGTAGCTGGGATTACAGGCACCTGCCACCGCGCCCAGTCGATTTTGTATTTTTAGTAGAGCTGGGGTTTCTCCATGTTGGTCAGGCTGGTCTCAAACTTGTGACCTCAGGTGATCCACCCACCTCGGCCTCCCAAAGTGCTAGGATTACAGGTGTGAGCCACTGTGCCTGGCCTGTCCTTCCTTTCTTAACCAGAGTAGAGTGGACCATCTTTACCTTATAAGCTTTCAGAAAGTATACCAGTAATACCTGCACAGAGTACAGAAAACAACAGTAAAAAGAGAACTAAATGTTTCCTGCCCATCCTACTCCCATTGCCATATTCCAAATGTAACAACCTTTAAAACTGTCCTGTTTTCTTTGTTCTCACAGAATTCTAATGTGCTTGTAGTATCTATTGATTCCCTGCTATAAAAGATGAAGAATTGAGCTCACTTGTACTTCCTTTCTACTCTGCTAGCATTAAGTTACGTTATTTTAAATTCTACTAATTTCGGTCGGGCATGGTGGCCCACACCTGTAAGATGGCTCATGGCCATCTTTTGTCTCCTTCTCACCCTCCCCACTGCTTAAGAGATCTCACCCATGACTGCCCTTGCGAGTGGTTGCTTGCTCATGATGTTCCAGTAAGAGGGCAAAGGAGGAACACCTCATGGGCAATAGATTTGTTTTCTGCATGTCTTTCCTCGATGTCCTGCAGAGATCTCAAATTCAAAAATTCCCTCTCTGTGCACTCCCTAAGTCAGCAACAGCACCCTTATCCATCCAGTCACCCTGTGCCAAAAACCCCAGAGTCTAGGCTGCTCCTTGCTCCTCCACCTGCTCCATATCACAGCAATCTTCCAATCCCATCAGGCCTTAGTCGCTTCTTGCTTTGACTGCTCTAACAGTCTCCTCACTGATCTCCCTGCCCCCAGTGTTGTCCCTCTCCAGTCCATTCTTTACCCTTTTATCCCCATGATCTTCCCAGAATGCAAATCTGGATACGTGACCTCTCATTAAAGGCTTGCCTGGCTGGGTGCGGTGGCTCACGCCTGTAATTCCAGCACTCTGGGAGGCTGAGGCGGTGGATCACCTGAGGTCAGGATTTAGAGACCAGCCTGACCAACATGGAGAAACCCCGTCTCTATTAAAAATACAAAAATTAGCTGGGTGTGGTGGCGAGCACCTATAATCCCATCTACTCGGGAGACTGAGGCAGGAGAATCGATTAAACCCAGGAGGTGGAGATTGCAGTGAGCCGAGGCCGTATCACTGTACTCCAGCCTGGGCAACAGAGCAAGACTCCATCTCAAAAAAATAATAAATAAAATAAAGGCTTCTCTAAGCCTTAGGATAAAATCCGTATTTCTAGCATATTATTCAACAGCCCCTCTGATCTTGCTCTACTTGCCTCTCTGATCTATAATAAATATGCCTTCTCTCTCCTCCATTTTTTTCTCAGCCTAACGAGTTTTCCTGCTCTTCTTTCCTTGGTCCGAAAGAACTGGTAAATCTACCCTTAGGCTGGGGCGCGGTTCTCATGCTTGTAATCCCAGCACTTTAGATGCTGAGGTGGGCAGAATGCTTGAGTCCAGGAGTTCGAGACCAGCCTGGACGACATGGCAAAACCTCATCTCCACAAAAAAATACAAAAATTAGCTGGGTGTGTTAGTGTGCACCTGTTTATCCCAGCTGAGGGGGGAGGATTGCTAGAGCCCAGGAGTTGAGGCTGTAGTGAGCCCTGATTGCACCACTGCACTCCAGCCTGGGCGACAGAGTAACACCCTGTCTAAAAAAAAAAAAAAAAGGCCAGGTGCAGTGGCTGCACACCGGGAATCCTCGCAGCAGCATTGGGGAGGCTGACTTTGAATGGTGGATAACCTGGAGGTCAGGAGTTCGAGACCAAGCCTGGCCGAAAACGATGGCGCGAAACCTATCTCTACTGTAAAAGTTATGGTGTCTGACGTGGGTGCCATGTGCAATGTAAGGATCCCAGCTAGGCGCTGGTTGGTCTGAATCAGGGAGAACCTCGGAACCACTTGAACCTGGAGGGGCGGAGGTGCAGCCGAAGCTGAATGGGCACCATGTGCGACTCTAGCGCTGCAATCACCAAGGCAGGCGAGGGACTCTGAGTCGCAGAAAAAAACAAGAAAAGAGAAAAAAAAGAAGAATCTACCGCCTCGGCATCTCTCACAGCTGGCAGGGTCTATCTAACAGGACTGCCTTCGTAGTCTCAGCTGTTTTCCCCAGCCGTGAACCCGGTTCTTTCTTGCCCACAGTCCCTTTTCTGCACGCCTCAGGTTATCATTCTGGAAGTCTTTATCGTGGTTATTGTTTCTCCGCAAAAACCAGCGCTGATGTGGGGCGCGGGGAACGCATAAAGAGTAAGAAGCGAGACGTTTGGGCCGGGGCGGGCGTGGTCGAATGCCTGTAAGTCCCGGCGACGTGTGGAGGCCGAGACGGGAGCGACAGGTCAGGAGATTCGAGGACCAGACCCGGCTAACACGGGGAAACCCGTCGGTCTACTGAAAGAATATCAACAAATAGACCAGGCGAGGGGGTGCGGGGCGCCCTGTAGTCGCCAGCCTCCGGGGGATGCTGGAGCCGGAGAATGGCCAGGTTGGAACCCAGGAGAGGCCGGTTAGCTTGGCAGTTGAGCTGAGATCGGCCACGGCCACTCCAACGGCGGGCGGCAGAGTGAGGACGCCTCCGCCTCAAGAA